TTTGACATTTCCCCATTCTTTGGCTTTCACTGTTTGCTTTACTAATTTCACTGCTTTTGCGATCAGGGTATGGTTGCAAGTGAAGTAGATGAAATGAATGCTTGAATTTAATAGATTAAATTTTTGCACAAATAGAACCTTGTGAGCTACAAACATGCTGTTTTTACGTTTACCTGTTTTTCATAATTTAATACGCGTGTTTTTTGTGATAACAAAAAACGCATACTGGATTACACATATCAAAATTATAAAAAAAGTTTTACACCTAAGTTTTGCAAAAAAAGTCCTTTTTTTGTATGTCTTTGTAGTCAGTGTCAAATTCCGTCATCCATGACATTGAAGATAATTTTCTAATATATGTCATGACAGCAAACGGATTTTGTTTAAATTATTATTACTGTTCTCTAAGATTTACACACTTCTGTTTGAGTTTAGCTCTAATTCCATGCATTAAAACGTGCAATTTTTGTCATAACGCAAACCGCATTGAGTATTAAATAATATAAAGTGGTGAAAAATTTTTTTGTATCTAAGTTTTAATACAAAACTCATATTTTCGATTTTGTTGAAGTCAGTGCCAATTTCTAATGTTCAATGGAAAGTAGCAAACAAAGAGATGCAGATAAGAACATTCAAGGTGAAACGTAAACAAAGGGTATTCTGTTGTAACGAAAGTATTTAAGAACGTTTAAATACCACAATTTCATCAATGTTTCTCTAGCAGCGTTAAAGTTTTTTTGTTGGAAATCATTGGCAATATTGTTTGAAATTGTCGAACACACGCTATTTATTTCCAAATATTTTTAAGAGAAAACGGTAAGAAATTAATACTATTTTATTTTTTATTTACAAATTAAATTTTAAATATCACAACTGCAGTAATGTTTCTCTAGTTACGCTAAAGTTTTTTTATTGGAAAAAAAATTGTCAGCAATCTTGTTAGAAAATTTTGCTATTTGTTTTCCAAAGACTATTGAGGAAAATCGTGTACAGGTAAGAATTCAATACTATTTGCATTTTATTTACAAAGTAAATTTTGAATATCACAATTGCATTAACGTTTCTCTAGTTACGCTAAAGACCATTCCAAAGACTATTCCGAAGACTATTCGCTTTCCAAGACTATTAAAAAAAAGAGTATACAGGTAAGAATTTAATACTAGTTATATTTTATTTACAAAATAAATTTTAAATATGTCAGAAAATTTTTTCTAAGTTATTTCATAAAAAAAATTTGTAGATGATAACACAAGTAGAGAATGATTAAGAAACCAGTTAAAAGATAATTTATGTAATTCTGATTAAAATGTTTTTGGAGGAAGGAATACATTATAGTCAATAAAAACCTACTACAAAATGCATATAAATAAATATGCAATTAAAAGTCAATTGTTTCATTTTTAAATGCTTTTTATTTTTTAATTTTTTTTTATTAATCTTTTCCCAATAAAGTGAAAAAAAGCCTGGAAATAAATAAAAATATATTAATATTTTTTGTAGACTACGTGACGAAGAAAAATTTCACATTTTTATAGTTATCTTAGTTCCTCAAAATATTATGTTATATGATCATTTTAGAATTTATTTGCAGCATTCTCATGTTGTAAAAAAAGATATTTTTCACTTTAATTTAAGTTGTGGGGATTTATATAGATAATTTTTAGATATTTCATGATTTACCAGTTTTTATATCATGCAAATACTTTTTTATTACAATTGAAGAAATTTACTTAATTAATGCAAATAAACATGTAATTTATAGATTTTTATTAGAAAATGAAATTGATATTGAATATTCACATCACATATTGTCGTGTAAATATTGTAATATTATGTTACATAATTTTATATATTTATAAGTTGTAGAATAAATGTGCCTTGATTTTTCAAACTGCACTAATTAACTTACTGGAATTAGATATATATAAATTTTCTATTTTTTCTATTAACAATCATCATTGTCTACAATTATCCACTAACCTTTTGTTTGAATTTTTCATGGACCCTTTTATACAACAATTTTTCCTTTTTTTTCTTTTACACATTTTGTGATTTTTGAAATCCCTGTTTGGCTCACCATATAAAAATAATCGTTTTTTAATTTATTATTTCATTACTTTATTAATAATTCTACCTGTTACAGATGGAAGAATCCTTTTTGCCAAAGGCACCAGTGGTCCAATTACTACATTTTGAGGTTCTTTCTATATTTCTTTTTTTATTTGTTTTTCTTCTTCTTTTATACACTTTTTAATTTTTATTTTTGAAAAAGAATAAGTGAATGAAATAAATAGTAAGCAAATTAAATAAATAAATGCATGAAAAGTGATAGCTGTTCATTTTTCAGAAGTAGTATAATTGCTTTAGTATCTAAATAGATATTTTTGAAAAAAAGACATTTGAATTTTAAATTAATATTTTTCTATAATTAAAAATATTTACAAAAAAATGAAAAGAGGACAATGAGGAGAAAGACGACAAAGAGGAGGAAGATGACTAAGAGGAGGAAGACGACAAAAAGGGAATTTTCAGTTGGTAGAATTGGACATAATGTTACTTGGGTTCTTTTATAAATGTTGTTTCTTAAATTTAGTATTTTCCCTTACCTATAAATATAGTATTTTTATTTAAAAATTATGTTTATATTTAGTATTTTGACAAAAAAATATTATGAATAGAAAAATAGTGTCTAAAAAATTGAATGGTATGCATAGATTTTAAAACTATTTATACCAGGTACTAAAACTATAAAATAAAATGTTACAACGTGCCATATTGTCACTCGGTAGAATCGAACCACCAACCTTTCGGTTAACAGCCGAACGCGCCAACCAATTACGCCACAGAAACATTTAATAGTACCGGTATATTTTAAAATATTATTTTTTATTCATAAAAAAATGTGAAAAACTTTGCAAACCGCACATTTCAAAGAATGCTCTGTTTTTCTATTTGGTTTAAATATTGTTTAAGAAAGAAAAGTTTACTTAATATGTTACTGCACATATATCTTAATTTCAACGTTGCAAAATTGAAAAACGATAACTTTAACAAACTTTTTAAAAGTGGCCTACACATGTTTAGTAAAATAATAATGCAAAGTGTGATATCTGACATGTTTTTGTCTTTATTAAAATAAATTTTTTAAATAACATCTCAAAGATATTATTTGTGATGAGCAAAATAAAAAATTTTATTGCATAAAAAAATCTTTTCTGGAAATTATTTCATATAATTTAGAAAAATGTTATTACTATAATTTGAGTTAGTTTAAAATTTAAGAGAGAAAAAGCTCTTTTTTTTATAATAACAAATGTTGTTTTTAAAATTTACTTTTTTTCTTACTTATAAATGGAGTATTTTTATTAAAAAATTATATTCATATTTAGTATTATGAGGAAAAACTATTATAGAAAGCAAAACATAGTGTAAAAAATACAATGATAATTATAGACTTTAACATTATTTATATCAATTATAAAGAACTACAAAATATAATATTACAAAGTGCCATACCGTCGCTAGGTGGAATCGAACCACCAATCTTTCGGTTAACAGCTGAACGTGCTAACTATTTACGCCACGGAGACAGTTATTGGTATTGGCACATATTAAGTATTATTTTTTGTTCTTGGGAAAAAAAATAATAATTTCGCAATAAACATATTTCTATAAATACTCTGTTTTCTTTTCCTGTTTATATATTGTTTATAAACGAAAAATTACTTCGATATTTTTTTGCATATATAAACTAAATTTTAACCATTGCAAAACATATAGATTATTACTTTAACAAACATTTTACAAATTTTCTACTCAAGATTAGTGAAATATTAATGTAGCATGGGATATCTGACAATTTTCGTCTATATATTAATGCATTGAAAAATATCACAACAAAAACACTAATTGTGACAAGCTAATTAGGGAATGTTTTCCATGGAAGAATATTTTGTGGAATATATTTCACATACTTTAAAAAAATTGTGTTGTTATAATTCAAGTCAGTTCAATACTTAAGAAAGAAAAACTGGTGTGTTTTTTCCATTAATAAATGTTGTTTCTTGAGTTTAGTTTTTTCTCTTAATTATATATATAGTATTTTCTATAAAAAAATTATGTTTATATTTAGTATTTTGTTAAAAAATTATTATTGAGAGCAAAAATTTGTCTAAATAATTCAATGATAAACATAGATTTTCAAACTATTTATACCAGGTACTAAGAAATATACAATAAATGCTAAAAAGTGTCATATTGCCACTGGGTGGAATCGAACTACCAACCTTTCGGTTACATCCGAATAAACTAAATAAATACGCCACAAAGACAGTTATTGGTATTGGCACATTTTAAATATTATTGTTTGTACATGGGAAAAATTAAAATAATTTTGAATTTAACACACTTCCATAAAAGCTCTCTTTTCTTCTCCTGTTTATATATTGTTTATAAACGAAAAATTCCTTCGATATTTTTTTGCATATATAAACTAAATTTTAACCATTGCAAAACATATAGATTATTACTTTAACAAACATTTTACAAATTTTCTGCACAAGATTAGTAAAATATTAACACAGCATGGGATATCTGACAATTTTCGTCTATATATTAATGCATTGAAAAATATCAGAACAAAAGCATTAATTGTGACAAGCTAAATAGGAAATGTTTTCCATGGAAGAATGTTTTCTGGAATATATTTCACATACTTCAAAAAAATTTTGTTGTGGTAATTTATCTCAGTTTATTATTTAAAAAGAAAAAACTGGTGGTTTATTTTAAATTGATAAATGTTGTTTCCTAAATTTACTTTTTTCATTTATATATAAATATGGTACTTTTATTAAAAAATCATGTTTACATTTTGTATTTTGACAAAAAAATATTATGGATACCAAAATTTTGTCTAAAAAGTTCAATGATGTACATAGATTTTCAAACTATTTATACCAGGTACTAAGAAATATAAAATAAAATGTTGCAAAGTGCCATATCGTCACTGGGTGGAATCGAACCACCAACCTTTCGGTTAACAGCCGAACACGCTAACCAAGTATGCCACAGAGACATTTAATGGTATCGGTATATTTTAAATATTATTTTTTATTCATAGAAAATTGTGAAAAATTTTTCGAACCGCACATTTCAAAGAATGCTCTGTTTTTCTATTTGGTTTAAATATTGTTTAAGAAAGAAAAATTTACTTAATATTTTACTGCACATATAGCTTAATTTGAACGTTACAAAATTGAAAAACGATAACTTTAACAAACTTTTTAAAAGTGGCCTACACATGTTTAGTAAAATAATTATGCACCGTGTGATATCTGACATGTTTTTGTCTTTATTAAAATAAATTTTTTAAATAACATCTCAAAAATATTAATTGTGATGAGCAAAATAAAAAATTTTATTGTATAAAAAAATCTTTTCTGGAAATTATTTCATATAATTTAGAAAAATGTTATTACTATAATTTAAGTTAGTTTAAAATTTAAGAGAGAAAAAACTCTTTTTTTTATAATAATAAATGTTGTTTTTAAAATTTACTTTTTTTCTTACTTATATATGGTGTATTTTTATTAAAAAATCATATTCATATTTAATATTATGAGGAAAAACTATTATAGAAAGCAAAACATAGTCTAAAAAATACAATGATAATTATAGACTTTAACATTATTTATATCAATTATAAAGAACTACAAAATATGTTACAAAGTGCCATACCGTCACTAGGTGCAATCGAACCACCAATCTTTCGGTTAACAGCTGAACGCGCTAACCAATTACCTCACAGAGACATTTAATGGTCTTGGTATATTTTAAAATATTATTTTTTATTCATAGAATAATGTGAAAAGATTTGCGAACCGCTCATTTCAGAGAATGCTCTGTTTTTCTATTGGGTTTAAATATTGTTTAAGAAAGAAAAACTTACATAATATTTTACTGCACATATAGCTTAATTTAAATGTTGCAAATATTTAAAAAAGGTAACTTTAACAAACTTTTTAAAAGTGGTCTACACATGTTTAGTAAAATAATAATGCACTGTGTGATATCAGACATGTTTTTGTCTTTATTAAAATAAATTTTTTAAATAACATCTCAAAGATATTAATTGTATTGAGCAAAATAAAAATTTTATTGTATAAAAAAATTTTTCTGGAAATTATTTCATATAATTTAGAAAATGTTATTATTATAATTTAAGTTCGTTTAAAATTTAAGGGAGAAAAAAACTTTTTTTATAATAATAAATGTTGTTTTAAAATTTACTTTTTTTCTTACTTGTAAATGGTGTATTTTTCATAAAAAATTGTATTCATATTTAGTATTATGAGTAAAAACTATTATAGAAAACAAAATATAATCTAAAAAATACAATGATAATTATAGACTTTGACATTATATATATCAAATATAAAGAACTACAAGATATAATGTTACAAAGTGCCATATCGTCACTGTGTGGAATCGAACCACCAACCTTTCGTTTACAGCCGAACGCGCTTACCAATTACGCCACAAAGACAGTTATTGGTATTGGCACATTTTAAATATGATTATTTGTTCATGTGAAAAATTAAAATAATTTTGAATTTAACACATTTCCATAAAAGCTCTGTTTTCTTCTCCTTTTTATATATTGTATACAAACGAAAAATTTCTTTGATATATTTTTGCATATATAAGCTTAGATTTAACCATTGCAAAAGAAAAATATTATTACTTTAACAAACATTTTACAAACTTTCTACGCAAGATTAGTGAAATATTAATCCAGCATGTAAACACAACAAAAACATTAATTGTGATAAGCTAAATAGGGAATGTTTTCCATGGAAGAATGTTTGGTGGAATATATTTCACATAATTTAAAAAAATTATGTTGTTATAATTAAAGTCAGTTCAATATTTAAGAAAGAAAAACTGGTGTGTTTTTTTCAATTAATAAATGTTGTTTCTTAAATTTAGTTTTTCCTTACTTATATGTATAGTAGTTTAATTAAAAACCTATGTTTATATTTAGTATTTTGACAAAAAAGTATTATGGATAGCAAAATTTTTTTTAATAATTATTCAATCATAAAAAAAGATTTTCAAACTTTTTATACCAGTTACTAAGAAATATAAAATACAATGTTATAAAGTGCCATATCGTAACTGGGTGGAGTTGAACAACCAAACTTTCGGTTACGGACGAACGCGCTTACCTTATGCCACAAAGACAGTTATTGGTATTGGTACATTTTAAATATGATTGTTTGTACATGGAAAATTCAAATAATTTTGAATTTAACACATTTCCATAAAAGCTCTGTTTTCTTCTCCTGTTTATATATTGTTTATAAACGAAAATTTTCTTTGATATTTTTTTGCATATATAAGCTTAATTTTAACAATTGCAAATAAAAAGATTGTTATTTTAACAAATTTTTTGCAAACTTTCTACACAAGATTAGTAAAATATTAATATTGCATGTGATATCTGCCAATTCTCGTCTATATATTAATGCATTGAAAAATGTCACAACAAAACATTACTTGAGACAAGCTAAATTGGGAATGTTTTCCCTTGATGAATGTATTCTGGAATATATTTCACATCCTTAAAAAAATTATGTTGTTATAATTTAAGTCTGTTTAATACTTAAGAAAAAAAACTGGTGTGTTTTTTTCATTAATAAATGTTGTTTCTTGAATTTAGTTTTTTCCCTTACTTGTAAATATAGTATTTTTATTAAAAAATTATGTTTATATTTAGTATTTTGACAAAAAAAAATTATGGATACCTAAATTTTGTCTTAAAAATTCAATGATAAACATAGATTTTAACACTACTTATACCATGTACTAAGAAATATAAAATAAAATGTTACAAAGTGCCATATCGTCAATGGGAGGCATCGAACCACCAAACTTTCGCTTATAGCCGAACACGCTAATAAATTATGCCACAAAGACAGTTATAGGTATTGGCACATTTTAAATATGATTCTTTGTTCATGGGAGAAATTTAAATAATTTTGAATTTAACATATTTCCATAAAAGCTCTGTTTTCTTCTCCTGTTTATATACTGTTCATAAAAGAAAAATTTCTTTGTTTTTTTTTTCATATATAAGCTTAATTTTGACCACTACAAAACATAAAGATTATTACTTTAACAAACATTTAACAAACTTTTTACTTAAGATTAGTAAAATATTAATAATTTTCATCTATATATTAATGCATTGAAAAATATCACTACAAGAGCATTACTTGTGACAAGCTAAATTGGGAATGTTTTCCATGGAAGATTGTTTTCTGGAATATATTTTACATCCTTAAAAAAAATTATGTTGTTATAATTAAAGTCAGTTTAATACTTAAGAAAGAAAAAACTGGTGTGTTTTTTTTCATTAATAAATGTTGTTTCTTAAATTTAGTTTTTTTCCTGACTGGTAAATACAGTATTTTTATTAAAAAATTAAGTTTGTATTTTATATTTTGACAAAAAATATTATGGAAAGCAAAATATTGTCTTAAAAATTCAATGATAAACATATATTTTCAAACTATTTTCACCAGGTACTAAGAAATACAAAATAAAACGTTACAAAGTGCCATATCGTCACTGGGTGGAATTGAACCACCAAACTTTAGACTACTGCCGAACACGCTAATCAATTATGCACAAAGACAGTTATTGATATTGGCACATTTTAAATATGATTGTTTGTTCTTGGGAGAAATTTATATAATTTTAAATTTAACAGATTTCCATAAAAGCTCTGTTTTCTTCTCCTGTTTATATATTGTTTATAAACGAAAAATTTCTTTGTTATTTTTTTCATATATAAGCTTAATTTTAAACATTACAAAACATAAAGATTAGAACTTTAACAAACATTTAACAACTTTTCTACTTAAGATAAGTAAAATATTAATATAGCATGTGATATCTAACAATTTTCCTCTATATATTAATGCATTGAAAAATATCACTACAAAAACATTACTTGTGACAAGCAAAATTATAAATGTTTTCCAAGGAACAATGTTTTCTGGAATATATTCACATACTTTAAAAAAATTATGTTGTTATAATTTAAGTCACTTTAATACTTAAAAAAGAAAAAACTGGTATGTTTTTTTCATTAATAAATGTTGTTTCTTAAATTTGGTTTTTTCCCTCACTTATATGTATAGTAGTTTTATTAATAAATTATGTTTATATTTAGTATTTTGACAAAAAAATATTATGGCTAGCAAAATTTTGTTTGAAAAATTCAATAATAAACATAGATTTTCAAACTTTTTTCACCCGGTACTAACAAATATAAAATAAAATGTTACAAAATGCCATATCATCACTGGGTGGAATGGAACCACCAATCTTTCGGTTACAGCAGAACTTGCTAACCATTTATGCCACAAAGACAGTTATTGGTTTGGCACATTTTAATATGATTGTTTGTTAATGGGAAAAATTAAAATAATTTTGAATTTAACACATTTCCATAAAAGCTTTGTTATCTTCTCCTGTTTATATATTGTTTATAAAGGAAAAAATTCTTTAAATCTTTTTAATATATAAGCTTAATTTTTACCATTACAAAACAAAAGATTATTGTTTTAACAAACATTTTACAAAATTTCTACACAAGATTAGTAAAATATTCATATAGCATGGGATATCTGACAATTTTCGTCTATATATTAATGCATTGAAAAACATCACAACAAAAATATTACTTGTGACAAGCTAAATAGTAAATGTTTTCCATGGAAGAATGTTTTGTGGAATATATTTAACATACTTTAAAAAAATTATGTTGTTATAGTTTAAGTCAGTTTAATACTTAAAAAAAAATAATGGTGTGTTTTTTTTTATTAATAAATGTTGTTTCTTAAATTTACTTTTTTTCCTTACTTATATGTATAGTAGTTTTATTAAAAAATTATGTTTATATTAAGTATTTTGACAAAAAAATATTATGGAAAGCAAAATTTTGTGTAAATAATTCAATGATAAACATAGATTTTAAAACTATTTATACCAGGTATTAAGAAACAT